TTGGCCAAGGCGATCACCATTCACAAGAGCCAAGCAGCGACCTGTCGGCAGGGCGCACACTGCAAACTCGACAGCACGGTCACTCAGCAGGGACAAGCCTACGTCGCGCTATCTCGCTGCCCCACGCGGCAGCACTGCACGCTGGAAGTCTTCAACCCCAACTGCCTGAAGTTCAATGTCCACGCGGAATGGGCCCTGACGAGGCTGAAGGTACAGCAAGCAGAACAAGCAGGTTCCGAGCTGTGGCAGCAGCTGATGAAGCCTCCACACAGCAGGCAGCACTACATGGACGAGCTCGCGAAGCTGCGTCGTCCGAATCTCCCGGGTCTGGAGGAGCAGAACAGCCAGCAGCTGCCCTGGACTTGCCCGCAATGCGGCCAAGAGACAGCCAACACGAAAGCAGCCATAGCAGCGCACAAGCGCGTGTGCCCAAAGAAAGCTGCAAAGCCGAGCCGAGCAAAGCCCAAGGCCAAGTCTAAGACGAAAGCAAAAGCAACGCCCAGAGCAAGAGCAGCGGTGGGCACAGCGGCCAGCAGCAGCTCAGCAGCACGGCCACGGGGCGTGAAGAGATGCGCGGCAGCAGACCCGGCAACATCCCGGCCCAACAAGGCGATCAGAGCAAGCGAGGATACGTCGCACGACGTGGAGGGCGAGTTCTTCGAGAAACAGGAAGCGGCTCGATGCGGACAGCATGCCCTGAACAATGCGTTGGGCTTCCAATTCTGTACCGCAGACGACATGCGGCACGCGGCAGAGACGTTCCTCTTCGAGAACCCCGACCTGCAGGACGAGCTGAACATGCACGCTGGCGCGGGCGGAGATTATTCCATCGAGGTCATGATGATGGCATTGAGGTCGCCAGCCATGGCACGGTATGACCGCGTGCGCTGGTGCATGAGAGATCATCGAGCCACGTGCGTCGCCGACCTGGAGGGAACAGGGGTTGGCCACTGTCTCTGGCAAGAAGAGCGGGGGAAACCTAAACCCTAAGCCCTAATCCAAAACCTACAAACCGGAAAACCTTTGAATCCCCAAACCCTCAACCCCAAAAGCCCTGATTCCTCTCATACAAGCCCTCAGCTCGAGCTGCTCCTGGTCTGCATCAGCCTAGCAAAGTGCGGCCATTCAATCACCTCGGTGCTGTCGGGGTTTAGTATTTGGGTAGTTCTCTAAATTAGGGTCCTTTTTGGGGTCCTTTTGATAAGGGGGCCGTACTATATTTGGGACCTAAAAAGGCAGAAAAACTACCCATTTGAGGACTGTGGGTTTCAAGCACCATCTGGCCAAGGGTCCAAGTATCCACCACTGGTATTCGGGGGGTTCCAGGGTGTGGGCAAAGCTTTCAGGCATTAGGGGCTTTAGCTGCTTTAGGGTTTAGGGCTTTAAGTTCAGGGCTTCGCGGCTTGAAGGGGGGCTGCTAGGAGTCTAAATGCCAGGTACTTACTTGGGTGAAGATACTTAAAGGACCATACTCAAGAAGCGTGGCAAGTTAGTCATACTGTTCTTTAGGCTGTCTCATAACTATATCAAGACAAAGCCGGCCCAAAGACAAATCTATTCTAGTTTTGGCTCACATAACAGAAATCTCAGGCCCGTAAACCTTACACCCTAAACTAGGTGCAACATTGTGTTAAGATGGTGCTATACATTGATTAAAAATCCAACCGAACCTGAAAGTTGTGCCGAATCGAAAACTGGCAAAGCCATTCTTACAAGACCCAAACACGGAAAAGCCTAATCCTCAAACGCCCGTGTTCGGACCTCAGGTTCTGGTTCCACGGTGTTTGCGTTGAGGGCTCTGGGTTTTTTTGGGTTAGGGTTTAGGGCGCTGGGCTTTGGGCTCTGGTTTTTTTGGGTTAGGGCTTAGTGCTCTGGGATGAGGGCCGTGGCTTTGTGGGTTAGGGTTTCGGACTCTGGGTTGAGGGCTCTGGCTTTTTTGGGTTACGGTTTAGGGCTTAGGGTTTTTGGGTTTAGGGTGTAGGGCACAGGGTTTTTGGGACACGCACCTTGTGCGGTTCTTCCAGGGACAGCTTGCGCCAGGTCCGGAATGTCCAGCGCGGACGTTCCAGCACCTCGTCCAGTGAAGAATTTACACCTTGGGGCTTTCGTTTTGCTTTGAAGGCCCTTTTCAGAGGGCACTCTGGTCAGAAATCCACGATTTAGGGTTTTGGTCTAGGGGTTCAGGTCTAGGGATTAATTAAGGTTTAGGCATGAGGATTTAGATTCTCAGGGGGAAAACCGGGGCATAGCCCCTTAAAACTTTTTTGGCTCCAACCTCAAAATGCATTCGGCGCTGAGAAACTGTCCGAGAACACGACTCATGTCGCAAAACCTGGCCTCGTACAGTGCAGGAACGAGCTCGCGCAGTGTCGCCTGACAAAGCTTCCGGGCCTTTTGCTCGAAGTCTATTGGGAATGTATTCCACTGGCGATTGTTGGTGGCATATACTCTGCAACTACTCTTGCTGTTGGGTTTAGGGCTTAGGGTTCGGATTTGGGGCTTTGGCTTTTGGGTTGTGGCTAGGGTGGGAAGGCCTTTTGATTTCGGCGCTCGCAATCCAGGCGAGGCATGTGGTTCGAGGTCTGCTGATGTGAAACACAAGTGAATACAAGACCGCCATCAAGACAAGGCCTTTCGATTTGGGGAAAGACCCGGTGAAGTCCCAGGGCTCAAAGGCTCCGGTCTTCTGTGATACTCTGGTATCCGAAGGGATGCTGCTCGTTAACTTGCACATCCTCCGCAGCCTTTCTTCAAACACCTTAACTTGCTGCTGAACTGGAATCGCATAAGTCTAATAGTCTAGGATGTCGGACGGACCTCCATTCCCACAAGTCTGGACAGGAGGCCCTCTAATCAACTACCATAATCCACAGGGTGAGTCTTAAACTTTTACACGCGAAGCCAGACCTCACCACAACCTCCACAGCAAGATCTGGGTGGCTTCACGAACAGTGCTTCGGCGTGTAAGCAAGGTCATGTGCCGAAAATGAGCTGTGTCACGGTCCTTCGCCGCACGTTTGACCCGCTTCTTTCGGTGATCCAGCATGATGTCGCCTGAGACGCTGTCAGCTTGCCTCGTGCCTTTGCAACATCCCAAACCACCCTTCGCCCGGTCTCCTCCTCGCCTTTCAAACATCCTAAGCCTAGCCACCCACCCACGGGCGACTCTCATCTCATACAACTCTAGATACCTACCGGATGCAAACCGAATGCTCTGAAAAAATGACATGTGCACTCAAATGTGTCAAGCGAACAGAGGTGCGCTTTGGACTCTGTGCTGGTGAAGTTCTTTGGGTATGGAAAGCAACCCCATCAAGTTTCAAGAAATGCTTGCAAAGGGTTAATGCCAAACAGTCTTTGAACCTTGCATGGTTGAAACTTGGCGAAACATTCTGCAGTGCTGACCTTTGGAGGTTGGATGATCCACAAACGACGAGGTAGGTGCCAGGGTTAGGTTGGGATTGAAGGGGCCGGCGCTGTCCAGGTATGCCAGGTTGCTCAGCGGATGGTCCAAGCTAATGCCGACACGCTCCTGCAACCGGTAGCTTACGATGTTGTATCTCTACAACTCTGTACCCGATGCAGGCCCGATGCAGACTATATGCCACGGGATCCTCCGGGCCGTTTGAACAATCGGCCTTTGCATGCGCTCCTCTTAATGTAACAAACCCCGAAACCTCAAAGCTGCCTTGTCGATGACACCTACTACTACTACTACTACTACTACTACTACCACCATCAGCGTTGACACCGCAACCACTACTGACACTGGCCACATCTACCACCACCACCACCACCACCACCACGACTACTACAATTCGGCTTCAGCGTCCCCTAGAATAAGTGGCTGATTGTCGCAGGTATCCTGCGATTCAGGGCTCCTTGCTGGGATTCCCGTTGTCTGGACTTCCACGTCACGTGCCGACAGGAGAACGACAGTGAGAATCTGTTGCGTACATTCCCGGCAAGATTAGAGTGCATACTTTGCACGTGCCGGGCAGCCTTGTGCATGATAGTAGAACCTGGCCCTTCTACATTGTAGCCTAAACCCAAACCTGTGGAGTGGACTGCGGTTGCCAGTGGCTCCGAATTCTTCTCTGCTGTGGATGGGGAGCCCAGAGCCCTGAGGCCCATCAACTCCAGACTGAGATGGGTTTTTTTTTAAAGTGCAATGGCCATTTCGCTCCGCTGAAAGCAAAGGTCAAAAACCCGCTCACTCGAGCATGCACTCTGAGATGGGGTTTAGGGCTGGAGCTTCGGTCTTGAAGCTGTTGTTGAGAAAGCTGAGCCCTAAATGTCAATGTGGGCTTGCCCCGATCCCCGAACCCCTGGCCTCGCTGGCCACGATGCAGAGCTCCGCCACTTGAAGCTCGAAGTTCAAGGTCTTATCCTCTGCCTATGCTCAAGGCTGGAAGAATCGACTGTAGAGTCTTCGGCTTCGACTCTCTCGGCTCGCAAAAGGCAGGCAAGAATACTGAGTTTAGAGAGTTTAGGGGTCGGGCTTCCGGGTTTTCGGTTCTGTTGTCGGGTTTTTTCGAGCTTAGCCTGGAACTGAAGACCGAAGTCCAATCTCCTCCCGGTTTAGCCTGAAGGCTTGGTACCCAAACCTGACACAACGATCCCGGATCCAGACTCGAAGCTCGAGGCGAACATCTCCTTCTGACAAGCCCAGACCATTCCTTATAGTATAGCTTATTCTGTTGTAGCATCTTGTGTAGCAACCAGTGGTCAATTCCACTCGCCGCAGCTTACACTTCGAGCTAAGAGACAGTAGACAGCAGGAGGTAGCAGGTAGCAGGTAGTAGGTAGCAGCAGTGGCAGTAGCAGCAGCAGAAGCAGCAGCAGTAGCGGTAGCAGGAGCAGTAGCAAGCAGAAAGAAGTCAGTTGTAAGGAGTAACTAGAACAAATCATAGCTTTTTCGTGCATCATCACTGCGATCTTAAGCCCGCAGCGGAAGACTTCCCCCTCGCCCTTCCTAGGGAGCCCCCAAAAACCGAACACCCGCAACTCCTTCAAAACACGCTTAGGAAATCTTAAGAATCAGTGTTCCCCCTCACCTTCGACCCATAGGATACACTCAAGGAGCGAAGCCCAATTACTGACCACCAGCCCTGACCTCTCGCACCCCAAACGATTAGCTGCGGTGGTTCAGAAACCAAGGCGCCATCTCCCAAGCCCTCTTTGCAATTTCACACGCTGCGACGTTGGTCCTGAACTTCTTCTGGGCTGACACCGAAAGAAGTGTGTTCAGGAGCCAAGCATTTGGCTAGTGACAAGACAGCGGCGCAAGACGGCCATATCTTCAGTCCCCATAAGCAAAAACAGGGAGCTACGGTAAGCGTTGCACTCGAGTTGAGGGGACTCAGCTGACTCAGCTGGAAGGCCTTGGTGTTGAGGATTTCACTTTGCAGCAATGCCCCCCTCCCGACGTACATTGCGAAGGGTTTCGAATTTCAGAAATGTAACCACGAATGCTCCAAACGCTCCAGCTTGCGAAGCTTCAATTTCTCATGCATTCTGCTGGAGCCCCAAGACACCCCAGCTCCGCTTCCGCTTCAGGTTTGGGGCACTAAGACAAGTGAGGGAGAAGTGGAACGCTTTGAACAAGCCTGCCTGCGTACACTTCAGAACTCAGAACCCAAACCTGTCAGTTCCGTTTCCCTGACTTCCTTCACCCCAATCTTCTGTACCTTAAGACCCCAAGATGCAAAATCTCTAAACTCTGATTTTCCAAATCATCTTCTCCCACATCGCTCACCAAAGGCTTGTAAAACAGCGCGCTTCTGCCTGGATGGGAGCAATGAGTGGCCGACGGTGTCGGATGTGTGTGTGTGTGTGCCCCGCCGGCAGTTTTCTTAGGGTTTACGGAAAAGTGGAGACAATATGGGTGCTCGTCCGTAGACCCTAAGTCATCCTGCAAACCCCTAATGTTCAAATGCGTATAGA